CGCCGCCACCGCCACCGCTCTCACAACTTGTGGGTAAGTACCCTCACACTCCAATCAGTCTGCACTCGCATGTCCACGAGGTTGCTCGCACGGTCTTGCCGCCTTCCTCACGTACTCACCCCTTTCTCTCTTCTACCTGGCTCACCACGTTTAGTGCATTACCAGAGACCCGTGCACGGGGTGAACTGAGCCACTGGTTGACGTGCTCGTTGGCTATTGTCAGTCGTCGAGAGGTTAGGTCAAAGTGATCCGTCGTGGCGGGATTACACGGCTCGTTTGAATTTGAATTCTGACGGCACCGTATCCTCCCGTTAATTATTAACCGAATGCCTCTCAACGCGTATTAACGCGATCAACGCACTTCCGACGAACCGTTTCAACGACTGTCAAACAAATTTATCGCCCGACGAGAACCGTACGCGCCAACGTCGAACCGCGTGACAACCGCCGCGTTGAGGTTAGGTTGTTCCTCGTCTACGAACGCGCCTTTTTCGAACGGATCCCTCGCGACGTTTACTCGCCGCGGATCAATTTATGCGGATATTTGTGCGAATATCGGTTGGTGATTACAACCCGTATCTCAAGTGACGAACAAAAGGACAATGAGAATCGTGGAAATTGAGTGAATGTTTTCGAACGGCCGTCTTTCGTGCAGTGACTTTTTTGGTGTGCAACAAAATGTACGCGTGGTGGTGATTAATATATTCATTCTAATATATTTTCTCGTGTACACATGCCCATTCGTATACGTGAATATACGGGTTTGTTTCGATTCGTTGTATTGAGAAGCGATCGAAACCGAGGTAGCCTGTTGCGTCGATGCGTTGCACGTTTTCGCACACGGCTCTTTCTTCCCGATGATTATTTAATAATGACAACGAAATGAACAACTTGACTTTGATAATACATCGATGCATTTTGCAATTGTTAACGTTCTAGTTTTTTTACTGATTCGCTTTGTTGAAAATTTATTTTGAAAATTACACGAAATACAATATTTTGGTGGAATATTAATGAAGTATTTTAAATCGCTCAAACATCTTAGGAAAATTATTGCGTTTCATTGAAAATTGACATTGGACCAATTGATGTATTGCATAATATATAAATAGTGAAACGTGAAAATAGGTAATTTACGTAATCTACAAATGGAAATTTTTAGTTAATAATATGTTAAAAATTTCCGTTGAAAGATTTGTTTTATAAACTTCGTTATATCGTTCTATTCCAAAAATGTTGATGTACGTTATTTTGGATGCTTAATTTTAAATAGGTTGTCTACCTTGTTGCTACATTTTTTAATGTTATAATCATTTTATTTGTGCAGATATGATGCAAATATAGTCGACATAGAAAATATTAATACAGTAATTAATTGCAAATGATGTTTCTTGAAATAATGGTTTATTTTAAACAATTATATTTTCGGAAATCTTTGTGGTAAATATAATTCATAGCTTGTAAAATGAACGTAAAAATAAATTATTTTCCACTAAAATTCCTTAATTTATGTTTGTTATTGATATCTTGCACAGTTTCTATTAACCTTTATATAATATTTTTAATTTTTTAAATTTGTCTAATTGTCAGATGTAATGATACAAAAATAACAATGAATAATTATTTTCTGTAATATAAATTTATTTAAAGAAAAATTGTACTATAATGCAATATTATATCTGAAAAGAAAAATTCAGTGACAAGAAATTTTTTCGATATTTTCAATAATAATAAAATAAGCAATTCACTTATGTTTGACAAAATGAAATAACATCATTTTCATCGGCTTTTCAGTCTCTTTTTTATTAATTTCGCAAACCGTATAAAAACCTTGATATCCTTCATATATCTATTTACAGATCTTGGAAAATACGTGTAAATTTCTTGTTTTGCCAAAACTGATTAATGAAAAGTAATCTGACGAAGTGCCACGTGAAATAAACTCGTATGAAAATTTTACTATTCGTAATTATTCGTATAAATATTTCCTATGTTCAGTATACATTGCGCACTATTAGGTAACTAAAAATTGCTCAAGTCACGTATCCATCAAGTTTGAAACATTTTTAACCTTTTCTCGTATAGTGACCTTATATCAGAACATTTATGTAAATGAATTACTTTCATTCGAATAAATTCTAATTTTTTATTCGCAATGTGGCTATTTTTCTCTCTGAGGAATAAACATGTTTAGAACTTTAAATTAGTAACTATTTCTGTAATTCTTAATAACCACAAAAATGAACTATAAAAACTCATGCGTGAGGGAGTTAATCTTCTGCACAACTTTATCTAATTTTAAAAAGAGTTATTTTCAAATACTAATTAGTAGATATTGAGACAGAAATATTTTGTATTAAAAATGTAGAAAGATATAATATTGCAAAACTATTTTATAATATTTTGAAAAGATGCAACAAAAGGTGTGTAATTAAGAGATAAGATATTTTCAATCATTTTAAGTGTTATAAGATTTTCTTTTCTTTCATGTTTGACAGTATGCAAGAATTTTCTGCAATATTTACAACAGAATACAGTGAAGTATTAAAACTAAAATATGTCATAAGTTGTTTGAGCGGTTTTGAAAAAAGTACAATAAATATTTTGATATAAAAATTGCAAAATGCGTAAATGATTGTGGAATGAAAAGTTTATTGGAATAGCGTAGAACATTACGAACGGTGAGCTCTGACGATAATTTTATTAAATAATTGTTTAATTAGGTTCCGGTTATCGGTTCTGAATTTTCTGAAACAAAATTCACCGACGGATACGATTATTTTTATGAAATTTGATTCGTAAGAGTATCGAAACGCTACCGTTTGGTTCCTCGGTTTTCTTTTGATCCGACGCGACGCGATGCGACGCGACGCAACGCGACGCGCACTTTTCAAGTATTCGATTCGAGAAAAAGAAACAGAGAAATCGATAGAACCACGATCAATGCAGTCACTCGTAGATCAAATTCAGTAGCTGCCGTTGAAAGACAAGACTGAAATTAGTTACTCGATGACCGAGTCATTAATTGCGTCGCGTTTTGATTGTACTTGAACGTTTCTAATTCTTTCAGATTATTTGTTCAAAATAAGTTAATCTCTTCATAGATGAATTTTATAACTAATTTTCTGTTTTAACATTGAACCTATTGGTTTTTATTGTACACTTAATTTGAAATTAAAAATGAAGCTGAAAAATGAATAAAAAAATAATAAAACATTAATTCTTTGTTTTCATGAAAATTAACACAAATTTCAAGAAAATCGTCTTAATAAATTTTGTAGCTTGAACTTATAAAACGCTCATTTGACCACTTTGGTAGCTTTAGTGGTAATGGAAAATTTTGTAAATACGTTTTGCTTATTTTATGTAAATATATTTACTTCTTTCGTGCAATTATATTTTCTTTCTTTTAATACAGGATAATTTTGTAATTATATTTGAGTTCATTTGTGTAATTATATTTGCTTGTTTTGTGGAATTATTTTTAGTTATTTCATGCAATTATATTTATTTTCTTGAGTAATTATCTTCTCTTATTTTGTGCAATTGCATTTAGTTATTTTGTGCAATTATGTAGACTTATTTTGAAGCAGTTGTGTAGTTACTTATTTTGAGCAATTAAATAAAGGACGTTGCAAAAGCTACAATGTGTAAGAAAGTAAATAAGTTTGGCATATATCATTCATTAATTGGATTAAATCTGGAGAAGTTAAATGTACACAAATATGGAGGAAGTATAATATATTTAGAATATAAACATACTAGTCGTCTACGAATAAAAAAGTACGACAAAGGAATAAATATAATTGCATATCCTAGGAAAATTAGTAAATTTATATTTCAAACTTTCGAATTTTGAATTGGCAACTTAGCATCAAATTTAAAATTTCATGTCGCATTTTGTATTCTTTGTTCAGAAAATTGACATAGAACTAGTGAGTGATCTACATGATATACTTCTAACTTTATTTTAATTACAACTATAACGATTGAATAGTGAATGAACATTTTAAATTCATTTTTTGGAAAAACTAAATATTAAAATGTCAATTGACGTCCAATTTTAAAATTAATATTATTTGTTCTTAATATTGACAGCATTATAAATTATAATGTTAGCAGATTTTTAAATTTTATTCGAAATTGTCAATAGCATTTATGAAATTTTGCATGCCCTCAGTCTAAGTAAAAACAATCTTGAAGAGATTAATGATACAAAAATCGCAACTATTAATAATACATAATATTGAATTTAAATCGATCTGCTATTCTTTCAATTAGACTAGATTAAAATTCTGTGCAGGATTATCGAAATGTTATTAGAATAATATCATTAAAAAATTAATCTCAAGTTTTAGAATAATGAAATATACTAATGATGAGTGTCAGGTAAAATCGTACAATTTTTCTCTTAATTGTAAATATATTATAAAATATAAACCGAAGTTGGGAATGAATACTGTAAAGTTCTTTGATGTACTTTCATACATACTGCAAATAAAATAACATTATTTCTAATAAATAAATGCTTTTGCGAAGTTTACACCGAAATCATCAATCAGTAAAAATCGTATGGTACTGCAATAAATTAAAAAGTACTAAATATTTTATGAAGTAGCTAATTATTCTTTATGTAAATGTTTTTGCAGTCGTATACTTTATTTTTGCTCCAGCAAAGTATAAACTATATAAAAATGAAAGAAACAATCGTTAAAAAATATTTCATTTGCACCTTGTCCACAAAGTTATAAGATGATGATAAAGTTATAAGAGAACTGCTGAAGTTGTTAACAAAAACAAAAGCTGAAGTATTACACAGTACATCGTTAAACGATACAGAAAAGATTCAGTAATAAATGAAATAGGAATAAAATCTGATTAATTATACCAGATGAACGGTGAATTCAGTAAAATCAGTGTATCGAAGTTGACTAATAAAATAAAAAATTCTATAATAAAAAGTGTCAGCGAAATAATTATCTTAAAATTATTTGAAATAATTGCATTCATTGTACAAGGTTCTTTTTCGAAATGGTACAACCGAAAAGTCAACATATAAAAATAAGTAAAATATATGGAATAAAGTTTTTTCGTATATGGCTTTATTTTCGAGAAAATTAAAGAAAATCTAAGTATTTGTAAAAAATTCGTTTACAGTGTTGAAAATGATAAAATTAACAAATTGTTTCTTAATTCTACACTAAACAAATATTATAAATCAGAAAATTTAATTATTAATATCACTAAAGTAGGTTTTTTCACATTACTTTATTAGGCTTGTTACTTATGTGTTTTTATCATTGATTAACACTAGAACTATCAACTAGTCAAAATGGCTGGTTTCAGATTTCTCATTTTATATTACAAAATTTTGTTGTCGCGATTTTATGGAAATGTCTGTCATATTTTGTTGAGGTAAAAATTAGTTCTATATGTTACTTGATGTTTTAGTATTTATTTAATTCCCTTTTCATTTTATTTTTCATTCTTCGATAAACGTGCATTTAATGTCGGTAGTTCTAGTGTGAAATTCATGGTATTAAACATTCTATATCAATAATGTTATGAAGAAAGATTGATAACGAATTTTAGTAATATTTTTTATTAGATTTATTTGTTTAATAACATTCATTAATTCTCAAAGCAATGAAAAGTTATTTATCATTTTATGTGCCTTGAG